GTTAAGAAGCTATAAGCCAAAACGTAAAAAAGCATACCCTACCCATCCGCCAGCCTAGGTGGAACTAGCCCCTAATAACCTTAGGGTCCTTACACAGGGCTCTCTTGTAGTTGTACTTGCAATTAAACTTGACTTAGAGGTTAGGGCAGCGCTTAACAAACGTATTAGGCTAGTTTATGCCAATATGGGCTATATTACGCTTAGCGCGCAAAGAATTGGCCATATCAGCTACAGCAGCCAATCGAGGGGCAAATCCTCTAGCATCCAGCTCAAGTATGTACTCAGCAATCACATCCTCCTTAGTCTGATCCATATTCCGTGATTTTGGCGTGCAATTGGCTCGTGCAGTGCGTCCTGCGTATCGATTGCGTAGCGTGTTGTAAGGCGCGTTATATATAGCTGCAGCGCGTCGCAGAGTGAGCGTCGCGTCTTGTTTAACTGCCTGAAGCGCAAGCTGTATTGCAGCTTCTTTAAAGGGCTTAGATTTGTGTTGTTGTTGAGGCATTGCGTTGTGAAGTGGAATGTTGGTGTGGTCTTGGCAGTATGAACGACTCACCCGTACATATGAACGACTCACCCGTGGAGTACGTTATCTATTATCTTAAGTAAAGTTACTTTAAGTTAAAGCAGATGGCCTGCACAAGAAGCTATACTAAAACAGGAAGCATAATAAGCAACCTAATAGGCAACTAGACCTGCAACAACACTAAGAGTATTATAGAGGTGCAATAATATAGTCTCCTCAGTTCTTCTGGGAGGCGCGCGCTCACATGGCTGCTGCAGACCACAAGAGGCAAGAAGAGGAGGAGCAAAAAAAGGCAGAGACAAAGGAGCAAGCTGCTGCTAATAAAATCTACAATAAGAAGATAGCAAGAGAAAAGCGTGAGCAGCGGGCAGAGAAGAAAAAAGCAAGAGACTAGGCCAAGGCAAAGGAGCGAGCAGCTATTAATGCTTGCAAAGAGCAGAGACGCAAGGATAAGGAAGCTTACAACGCTAAAAAAGCTCTTAAATTATCTTAAAGAGGCAATTGCACATCCTTAAAAGCTTCTGCAGTTAAACAGAAGCCTCTGTGTTGTGCTGTAGGTGCTTGTAGTTATCCTAAGCCTGCAACACCTCCTCTGCCACGCCCAACTATTATCACCTAGAGTGGCCGCACTGCCACAAAATACTAGTGACTTTGTCGCGGTTTAGGACCTCTCCTTCTCAGCCTCTGCAGTCGCAACTCACCTTTGGTGAGGGCGCGATGCCAGCAAGGGCTAGCGCTGTTTACAATCACTTACCTACATGTACCGTTCGTAGCTTCACAAAAATACAACCTCAGTTCAATCCTCAATTCCTTGCGCACTGCTTGCACTCACTGCGACAGACTTTGTATTAGGAACTTTGTCGCATAGGTCTATAGAATGCTCTATCAAAATATCTCACGATAATAACTATTGTAGGTGGCTCTACAGCCTCAATTTTGTGATGGCCATACAGGCTCAGAACGATCGTTGGTTGACTCCGATCGTTGGGTGCACGGACACGGTAAGGGCTCGTTTTAAAGAAAATTACATTTAGTTTATTTTCCTTATATAGCATCTCCTTGTAGCTCTTATACTACAGCTGCTAAATCTAAAAGACAGTAAAAAAAGGGGGGGTACCTAGCGAGCACACCCATCGTTCTGCTGCGTCCCCTTCTCGAGCAAACACCCAATCTTACTCTCCTGATAAAGGCGGAAACCCGCCTACAGATCCCGAGAACAAGGCTGCTTGGGAAAGCATGTCTAAGTACTCGGCCACGTTTCTGAACACCAGCAGCCAGAAGATACTGCGGGTCCAGTTTCTCAGGCCAGGGTCTTTGTGTTTGAGACATTGCTGCACACAGGTCCGCTGACAAAGGTAAGATTTAGTGAGATGCTGGCTGGTATCTTTAGTGTTATTGTAGCCATCAGAAGCTGCATCACGCTCTAAGGGGCACGCGAATGGAGGCCAAGTACCTCCCTTAAATTCCAAAAATCGAATATACCGCTGTCTGGCTGAGATCCTTCGCCGTTACTAAAAGCTATATCGCAGGTGCGACCAGTGGTGGTGTAGATTCCAAAGCAACCGGCGCCGGTGCTGACACCTGCACCCTGTACTCGAAGGAGATCCCATGGTACCACATGGGTAATGGTGGTCTCGCCTGCATGACCCTTCCCAAAACTGAGTGTCAAGTTTGGCTTGACTGAACTTGACAATCAGATGTATGGATTTTGACAAGCCGGCGCAGCGCCTCTTGAAACGATCCAGAACCATAGTCTCCAGGAAGCTCATATTCTACTGGGTCACGACGTCTAGTCGACGGTCACTCTCGGACTTCACAACCCTATCGGCATGGAACGCATTGATCCTACCAGCATCGGCCTTGCTGGAGCAGATAGACTTGATGCCAGCGCTGTCGAGAAGAACGTCCGGCGATTGACTGCGCGCTACATTAGATCGCCATTAGAATGGAGGCTAATGACAGCTAGCACTTCAGCTAGATGTGTATGTTGAGTACCGGCAGCTCAACCAGCAAGACTGGCGCAAGGGCCTGTAGATAATTGGCTCAATTTCGCAAGAGGCGGACTTTCGCATATTGCTACAAGTCGAGAAGCGTTATAGTATATCTCTGCAGGATGCTGAGAACGCCAGATCTTAAAAATCCAAAGGGAATAAGCAGGAGCTAACGTAATTGCTGGCGCTTCGCAAATCGGTCGCTTTTAGGTCTTCGAGAGGTTTCTGCTGAAGAGCGAGAGAAGGCTAACATTCAAAACTAGCCCGGAGATGGCGATGCTGGCTATAATGTCGGTAAAATATTGTGTGCTCAGGTGTGCAACTGCTCCAAGGAAATAGGGCACTCAGAGTCTGTATTTATGAGACATAGCCCACGAACTCAATCTCACGTGGGAGAGGCTATTTGCCTGTGAGATCTGCCGTTTCGGCGCGCAGACTGATGTGCACATATTCAGAACTACCCACATAAATTTGGCGGTTACTCGGAGGATCGTGTGAGATCCGACACAGCTCAACAATCAAAGGTGTGGAAGAACTTGGATGAGAGAAGCGCGGCCTCGATCGACGATGGAAAAAGAAAACAAGATGCCTTCGTCTGGTCTCAGTAGAGCAACGATATTTTGGTCCACAGAACTCATTGGAGTCTTTAAATACATTACGGAACAAACGCAAATTCGAGCTGAACACCTCCGGTCTCTTCGAGCACGCAATGCGTAAGCTGTGCCCTAGCCGAAATAGAGGCAAGGGGAGTGCAGATGCAAGTACACAATGTCGCCCTCGTACATTGATACACTCACTAGGACATGTTCCTACCTTCCAGAATGGTGTCGGGTACACCGTTGATGACCGGGACCTAAATGCTCATCATCATGGTGTCAAGCCTTGGCCGAGACATCTCCAGTGTGCAATGCAAGTAGGTTGATTTGAGGTGACCTTCGGAAAATGTCCGCAATAAGACTTGGAATTCCATGGTTCTACGCAGTGCGTGAATAATATCTCGGCTACGTGCATCTTTCGTGCGCAATTGCTGACACCTTTACGCCCTAGGCTCCTTCCCACCGATCTGGTCGCTCTCCCTGGCGATACCCTGCTTGTTATCCTTCGGATAGACAACTCGGCTCTCCGGTCTCCTGTTGTCTTGCTCCGCAGCATACTTCTTCAATGTGTCCATACCAATGATGTCCAGGGCGTGGTGATGGGTAGCCTCGAGCTTCACCTTGGGAACATCATCGATGCCTGCATCGACCGCCGCTTTCCAGGTGTTGACATAGCCGCACAGGCGCGAGCCCTCCTTGATACCGGACTTGCGGAGGTCGGTGCCTTGTTGTTGTGACCAGTCGAGGAATGAGGATGTGAGATTAAGTGCGAGCGGCATCTCGCTGGAGCACATGCCGGAGCTGTAACCAGTGACGATGGTTTTGCTAGGCGTAGAGTGTTGATGGAGGGGCGCGTTGAAAACTGCGCAGCGTCAGATGTTATTTAGGCATAGTAGGACCTTGTATCAATGGATGACGAAACACTGCGACTGCGACGGGCAGGACATGCAGTCAGGCCCATCTCGCCTCTCATTGTGTACTGGTGTAGAGAGGGATTGAGCTCACCATTCTTCTGCGTCACATCCATCTTGCCTTGCTCGTTCTTTCCCGACATATTGGTGTCGTGTTTGTTGTGGTCTAAGTGGGATCTTTAAGCCAGTACCAACTGTTTGCTGACTTTGCGATCGAGTGTAGAGATCAATTGCAATAATTTGGCGTCGGATGATGACAGACGACACAGAAGCGGTCAATAGGTTTTGTAGCTCGAGGAATGTGCTTCGCGCCTTGCCTTTTCCTCGCGATGCCATTGTCACCATGATGCGTTCATCAGCGAGTCTTTGACGTCATTTCAGGGTCTTTGGCGTCAGGTACCGCATGCGGGACGTTTCCCCAAATGCCAGTCTTCAGCCTCATCGGGGGAGGACTTTGCAACATGCACACATTTAGAAAGGAAAAATGCTGCTGCTGCTAACAGTGTGGTGTTGATCATGAGTAAAGGCTCCCTTGATCACGGATGCACCATTCCCAATCAGGCAAGGCGGTAGATCTCCGTCATATCTGGAAGAGATCTCCTTAACGAATGCCACTACTTGCGGAGTCAAGAAGCAGATACGGAGAACGAACATTGCGGATCATGCTGAAAAGATCCAGTCAGTACTTGGCCCAGGCGCTCGAGTACGTTAGGACAATGATATACTACACGGCGATATTAAACCGCAAAACTTCCTCTACAAACCGCACAACTACATGTCCGTGACCCAGGTTCATCTTGCTGACTTGGGATAAGCGAATTAGTCGGGAGTGTCATAAGTAAAAGAGCCTCTGGGTTGGGCGCATTCTTGCAAAGATACATAGCTCCAGCGTTGCTACTACAAGCCTTGCGTGGACGTGCAGTTGATGTTAGGGCTCTTGGGTGGGTGTCACGTGTATGTTTTCGGAAACGTTAAGCGCCATCTTGTGCATTGAAGACTATTCGGCTTTCCTCGAGGAAGCTGTGTACCGTTCATGCGCACAGAGTATTGCAAGCTTTCACACCAAGAAAAATCTCGTGGCGCAAAGCCCGCCGAAGTTTTGCACAACACCACCCATTAGAATCATGATACTACCCCAGCAAAGTACCAATATTCCCATTAACTACAAGATTCATTTGAAATTCGCTGATGTAATGTTGGAAGGCACTTCGAAGAGCACGAAGGGAATGAAGAACATTATGAGCGCGACGTTGAAGTCAGTGCCTAGCATGTTGAGGGTGTCTTCGAGCCTTCGATCTTCGCATTGCCGATGTTTGCCCTGGCTTCTTTAGCAACTGCGTACGTAGCAATCCATGATGAAATTTCCTATTCAGATGCGAGATCAGGTACAACACAGCCAGTATAGGGCATAGCCTCCAATCGACCTTGTGGATGCCTTTGTTCTGTTCTGTTCAGCCTCTGATGTTTTATGCATGAACGCTGCATCTTCTCCGCTGAGGCCAGCGTCGATTTACTCAGATACAGCAAATTCCTCGTCATACGCAACCGAATGTCGTTCTTCTGTCGAGTCCTTCGCATCCAGCACCATCGTCGCGAGTTTTTCAGTATCGGAATTGATCGCAGAAGGATGCTCCTCGAGGCAATTATGGACATTTAGCACCTCCTAAATAGCCTGGTGATCTTTGGCAGCAGATTTCCAGGTATGGAAACTCTCACGATATTGCATACTGTATCGCAGTCAGAACTAGTAGCCAATGTCCAGCAATGCAACCTGATGAAGGGTAACAACAGCCGGTGGACGATCTTTGCCACCCTGAGTGGTCATCCACATGATTTGAGTCCTATTATCTGCTTCCAGGGTTGAAGTGTTGCAGAGAAAAAGCGGCGAAGCTCATGGCAGTAAACTGGGCATGCAATTCATTGAAACATCGGGCGAGCTTCGGAGAGATGCTTGGTCTCCATCTTGAAGCTTACCCGAAGAAGTGGCGTCGAACTTCCACGAAGGGAGTAAGTTTTAAGACTTATTCTCGTAGGAGTATACTGTGTTAGGGGCCATATGCCGACTTAAGTACCGAGAGGTGGATTTAGAAACGCTACCTTGCAAGCTCGAAGAGCTGGCAGGCGTAGACCTGAGCTTTGATGTCCTGATCAGTTCGATCCTCACGACCATACCTTCTCTCCTAAATTGCAAAGCCCATCTTTCACGCTCGAAAGTTCAAGAACATCATCGGACGTGCAGAAGTAATCAGCTTAGTTGTCAAACAACCTTTAGAGCCTCTTGACACGCCCTGGATTCTGTCGTCGTAATTGTCAGCAATCGATGTGTATGATGTAGCTGGAGCAAGCATTTGGGTCAGCCGAGAGTCATTGCTTTGAGTGAGGGCGTACGGTAGGGACGATGCTCAGGTGCGGGTCGGTGTATGCACTATTGATGCCTATCATACGCTTGCTGGTGACCGCTGCACCATCTTAATGTACAAAATGGCTACGTTAGTACGACAATGAATTTTTTGTGCTGTGATGGTTATGTCTCGACAGTGTTAGCACATAGACGGAGCTTTGGAGGTTTTCAAGTCAGCTCGGTCCAAAGTGATCAGTGACGTCACTGCATCCCCCCCCCTCCCCCCCAGCAGATGCGCATCGCACAATAGTCCAGACTTTCTGCCCCAGCTTTTGCTTTCTTGTACAAGGCCTTGAACGTTTCTTACAGGCTGTAATGCGTGTGCCACACATCGCAAGCTTCCAACATGATGTCATGTCCGGCGGTGGGGCTGTGCATCAGTCCTACATGTCAACTGCGCACAACATCGCAATGCTCACAAACGTAGGTCTGGACCTTCACACAAGTCTACGAAATGATGTCAGAGGTTGGCACTTTTCTGAATGCTTACTGTAACGTGGACTCGTGAGCGCTGAAGAGTCAAAGAATAGCAACAAGGCAGTGCTATGTGCAGCGCATCCTCGATGGAGAGGTTCTGGGCCTGAAGACCGGGTATGGGGTCGATATAAAGATGCTGTCAGAGGCGCAAAGGTGAATTTATATACAACAGACATCGTGTAGTAATGACAGGCCATCGACACTCAGCTTCAACATCCAAGCAACACACCAGGGCGAGCAATACGCCATCTCCATACCACTAGCAGCATAAACAAAGCTCATAAAACAACTCTCTATCTACAATACATCATGCGCGTGTCAGTTCGACGCACCTCGGCGCCCTTGCCATCTTCAGACGCAAACGCTATCAACATCTCTTCATCCTCAGACCTCTACATAACCATCACGCTCTCGACACCACTTGCTATCCAACGCAAACTCATCCTCCTCCCAAACGGTATCATCTCAAGCTCTCCACCATACTTCACCGGCACATCGCAGCCAGCATTCATACCACACTGCCCAATATTCGTGCCTCTACCCACATTGCCTGCTTCTTGCACGGGCAACAAGGAGCGAGGGAGGCACACAGCGCTAATCGCGCATCTAAGTGCTGAACTGAGAGAGGATGGGAGGTCATGGGAGGATGTTGTGAGGGAGTGTTGTCGGGATAGGGGCGGGTATCAGGGCCCGCGATGAGTACCACAGCAGATCATTGGGGGGGAGGAATGTTAATGCTAGATGGCTGCTGGTGCAGCCTGCATGTTGCTGTTTATGCTGTCTCTGTTAGGATCGCGATTGGCTGGCAAAGTATGGATACCCGTTATTGGCTCAATACATTTGAATCCAAATTGGGTTGTATTTGGTGATTATGCCTCCAATGCACGCCTATGTGTTCAAACCTCGCTTTATATGTTGATGACGCCAGCTATGCAAACAAATGCCCACTGGTACAACAATCACCTGCCTATTTCTCCCTGACACGGACCCTCAAATACGGGGGATCTTTCGGCTTACACGCTGAGTGCCCATTCTTGTCTTCTTCACGGTCAGTCAAGTAGCGCGCTGGGTCCCAAACTAAGAGATTGGGGTAAATGGACGGGTCCTGGTGGACATTGGCTGTTGCGTATGTGACGACAGCGTCGGGAAGAATGACTTCCATGCCGTTATCTGTTGGGAGAGGGCGGCAGTTAATGTTCTTCTGCAAGGCTGTACTAAGAAGGTTAAGACGGATAGAGTCCTTCATACATAGGTTGACAACAGGGAATTCTGCCTCCCAGGCTTCAAGCGGCACGTCGTCAAGCTGAAACCGCAGTGGCGCACTAGGGTTCGGGGCATGCTTAACTGCAGTTGCACGAACTTCTTCGCGAGCTTTGGCAAGCCATTCTGAGGATGTTGCAAGGTAGCAGAGAATTCACGCTGCGTTGATGCCACTGTTGAGAAGACCTGCGAACAACGCACCAACAATGAATTTGATGATCTTTTGTGTCCTGTTGCTCTGGTCCAGCATATATTGTAGTGCGTTGTTGTGCTTCTCGTCGCTCGTCGCGCGCTTCTTAACAATGTTCTCAATCATCATTTACAGGCGAGATCCCGCGTATGTGCGCTTGAGGACCGCCAGCGAAGGAAATTTAGGGAAGATGATTGACGTTGCTGTAGATCTAGCCTCAATGTATTTCAATAAATTTAGTACCTCCTCCAGCACTTCAGGGTTGTTGGCAATCTCGTCAGCACCTATAATACAGATAGTGAGTCTGAAGATAATGTGGTATATTAATTTGAAGGGGTTCGTGCGGCCGCTTGGGTCATTCTTGATGGCCTCCATAGCCTCTTGAATGTCGGAAGTGAGTGTCCTAAGCTTGCGGCGAAATTGTTCGTTCTGGACGAGGTACACAAGACGTCGGCTAAAGTGATCCGAGACATCTTAATATATTTATCTAGAGCTCTTAGGGGTCCTAGCTAGTTTAGATATTGTTCGTGGAACGCTCTTAACTTGTGGGGGGCGCCTATAAAGTTAGAGGCGTTAACGTACTCCACAAGCGAGCCGGTCACCCAAGCGAGCCGGTCACTTTTGCCAAGACCACGCCAAACTTCACTCTACCTTCAATGTCTCAACGCAACAACACAAAAAAGCCTCTAAATAAGGCTAATATACTGCTTGCCTTACAGGCTATCTAAAAAGACGCGACACTCTCCCAGCAACGCGCTGCTGCAATCTACAACGTGTCTTAAAGCACCCTTAGTAACTAACTTGCTAGAACTACTTCATGACGCGATTGCAAGCCTAACATAATCAAGCTAGCTAGTACTAAGGAGGAGGTAATTGTTTAGCACGTAATAAAGCTAGATAAGCAAGGCTACTTGCCCTAGCTTGCTAATGTAGAGGATATAACGTACCCCACGGGCGAGTTGGACACATGGGCGAGTCAGACACTTTTGCCAAGACCCTACTAAACCTCACCCTATTATGGCCTAAAACACCACACTCTAGCGCTGCAAGGTGCAGTACAGCTTAGAATATTATTTAGAGACTACTTCTGTATTATTCTTGCATATTCACGCGTTATGCCTAGTCTAATTGCACTATCTACAGCGTTGTTAGGAGGGCTTACCTACTTTAGCGCGCACCTGCTTCTTTAACTTCTTTCCATCACCACGTGCCCTAAACTCCTTTAGAGCTGCTATCTGCTGCCCTTCCTTAACTGTAAGGGTCCCTTCCTTCT